CGGGCACCCCCCCCCCCCCCCCCCCCCGCGTATGGGGCCCCTAGGAGACTTACCACTGGACGGACAGCCCCTCCCCGAAGAAAGGAAAAAGGCGCAGGGACGCCCTAAAGGGCTTGTCCGTATCCTCCCGCCTGCAGCGCCCGCTCTCCTGTGGTCACCGCCTCCCCCTCCCCCCGCGCCCGTGCTGCTCAGTGTGCCGGAGGCGCTGGGCCCCGCCAGGACCCTGTTCCCACGGACGCCGCTGTGGTCCTGCTCGCAGACCAGCTGCCGCGTGGACACCGCCTTTGGAGGCTTTCCCCCACGCGCTCTCCTGCTGCCAATTCCCACCCAGCGGGGACCGCCCGCCCTCTGCGCCCCCAGGACGCCCTGCGGGGGACCCGTGTGCGCCCCCAGGACGCCCCTGGCTCCCGGTCGCCGCGCCCCCGGACGCCCCGCCCCGCACCGGCGGCACCCTCGAAGCCTGTCTCCTGGGTCCCTGAAGGCGCGCCTGCTCCGGGAGCCCCAGGCCTCCCTCCGGGCCGCTGACCCTCTTCACTCCCAGATTCTTCAGGACTTTGTTCCAGGAAATCACCGCGTCAGCCTCCTGGACGCCCTGCCGGAGGTGCCGCCCGCTGGGCCCCGGGGGCCAAGACGGCCGCTCGGGTCAACACTCACATCCCCCAGAGCCGCCGATGGCAGCGGGAACAGCTCCCAGGCCCTGTGGCTTGATGGGTTTTCTATCCCAGAGTAACTTCCATGGCAGCCACGTCCTGCGCGCTGCTGACCCATCACATGCGGGCAGGTGTCGTGGTGATTCGGCAGGTTGTTGTGTGGACGTGAGCTTCACAGCAGTTGGTGCGCTAGTGAGGAGAGTGCAATACTCATAGACATAAGCTCTTGAAACAACGGTTTGCATGCATCAGGCATTCGCACCAAAGAAATCTGGGTTTTGTTCCAACAGCCCCTGCATTCATAGGTATGGGTCCTGGTGTGAGCAATTGCCATTATTCCACAAAGATTGCAAACATGAACCTGATATGAATCTGATGCCTCAAACAGTCTTTCCCTTAAAAACTGGGCTGCCCCATGGGCAATCTGACAGTCTCGTTCCATTTCACCAAAACTCAGGCCACCATCCCAGGATCTATCCTCCATGGGCTGTCTGTTAAGGTTCTGAATAGGCCCCCTAGCACGAGAATGAATCTTGTCATCCACCATATGCTTCAAACGCTAGTAATAAGTGGGGCTGATGAAAATTTGTGATGTGATTTTTCTACCAGTGAATCCATTGTACAAGACCTCATTTCCTCTTAGATGGTAGCCATAATTGGACAAAAGGTTAGAAATCTTCTGCACATGAACGGCATCATTAAATGGAGTGGCATCACCAATTTCGCCTTTGTTAGCTGAAACCTTCCCTTGAAGACATTCAATCAAGTGACCAATTGTCATACGAGAGGGGATGGCATGGGGATTTATGATGATATCAGGGGTGATTCCTTCGCAGGTGAAAGTCATATCCTCTTGTCTATACTGAATACCACAAGTACCCTTTTGGCTGTGTCGACTGGCAAATTTGTCTCCAATCTGTGGAACTCTGACAGAGTGTACCCTGATTTTACAAAATTTATATCCTTCCTGGTTGAGAGTTACCATAACCTGGTCCACAATGCCTGTCTCACTAGTCCTGAGAAAAGTGCTACAGTCTCTCTTGGCATAGAGTCTATTAGTGCTCTCCAGCTCATCTTCATTTTCAGGCAGGGTGACTGTTTTGCCTATAATACCATCATCTCCCAATACACGGACCCCGGGAGCTATCAGACCATCATCATCCAGCTTGTCATATATGGCATGCCTCATACCCCGGCATGTTTCACGTGTAGGCTTCTGAAAAACTTCTTCTTGGTCAAATCCTTTTTAGACTCATGTTCTTTGTATGATCGATAGAAAACAGACCTGAAAAAGCCTCGGTCTACCGCTGAATGATTCATGATAATGGAGTCTTCTTGATTATAGCCAGTGTATGATGCAATGGCCACAATTGAATTGATACCTGCTGGCAACTCTTTAAATCGCAGATATTCCATAGACAGTGTAGTCACAAGCGGTTTTTGAGGATAATAGAGAACATGGGCCAATGTATCCATACGGACGTGAAAGTTGGTGATATAAACTCCCATGGCCTGCAGGACAGAGACCATAAATTCCTTCGTTGCTATTGTTATCACGTCTATTGTTGCCTGTTAACTATCTATCCTGCACCCACCTAAGTAAAAGAAGTAGGTGTGGCCCTGGCCGGTTTGTCTCAGTGGGTAGAGCCGACGTCACCTGCGGCAGACCCTAAGGTCCCAGGTTCGATTTCGGATCCCCAGCACATGCCCGCCCAGGTCACGGGCTTGAGTGAACCCCACTAGCGGATGTGCAAGAGGTGGCCAATCCAAGATTCTCTCTCATGGATGAGGTTTCTCTCTCCCTCCCTCTCCCTTCCTCTCTGTAAAAAATCAATAAAATATATTTTTTAAAAAATAAAAAGTAGTGTGCGTCTATCATTTTACTTTTTATTCAATCCCAGAGGTCCACCCCCCACTTTTCTCCGTCTCTTGCTCTCTCCCTCCTCCCCTCCTTCCTTCATCTATCACCAGTGGATTTCCTGTAACCCACTTATATCTCCTCCTTGGAGTGGATTGTCACATATAAAACAAAGTGACGTCCCGGCCGGTTTTGGTCAGTGGGTAGAGCACCGGCCTGGGGACCGAAGGGTCCCGGGTTAGATTTCAGTCAACGGCGCAGGCCCGGTTGTGAGCTCGATCCCCAGTAGCGGGTGTGCAGGAGGCAGTGGACGGGTGATCTTCTCTCATCCTGGACGTTTCTATCGCTCTCTCCCTCTCCCTTTCTCTCAGAAATCAATAAAAATATATTAAATAATAATTGTAAAAAAGAATGAATAAAACAAAGTGAAAAAAAGCCATTCTCTGGAGCATTGTCCCAACCCCTTGAGATTCTGCTTCCCGGCAGGTGTGGACAGTTTGGCTGAAGTAAACTCATAAAAGTTCTCTACAGGTTTGCATGTTTTTACATGAACACGACATATACACCTGCTGGTTTCCGAGGGCGAGGCAACAGAATCTGTCCATGAGGTCTGCTGTGAAACTGTAGAGCAGTCTGTTTCTGCTGTCAGAAGCCAGGTCACCCTTAGAAAGAGTGTAGAAAAAAAACAAAAACAACAACAACAAAAAACACACACAAAAAGAGACAGAAATTGTTCTTAATATGTTTGCTCACCTTCTTGGCACTATGTGTTTTAACCAAGGTCACCTCTCCGAGAAAGGTTGTTTCCCCAGGTAGGGATTTTTCCCTGAAGTTAGGGAGGGGATAAAACCCCTTAAATAAGTGCCAGGTGGGTAGTTAATCCCTTTAACTATGAACAATCACCCTTAAGCTACATAATCTTTACTCCCTGGAACGGAGATAAGAAATGAGATATGCCGAAACCGGTTTGGCTCAGTGGATAGAGCGTCGGCCTGCGGACTGAAAGGTCCCGGGTTCGATTCCGGTCAAGGGCATGTACCTGGGTTGCGGGCACATCCCCAGTGGGAGATGTGCAGGAGGCAGCTGGTCGATGTTTCTAACTCTCTATCTCTCTCCCTTCCTCTCTGTAAAAAATCAATAAAATATATTTAAAAAAAAAAAAAAAAAAAAGAAATGAGATATATATAATTTTCTACAACATCTATGAAATAGTGACTACAGTTCATACTGTATTGCATATTGAAAAGTTTCCTGTTTCTACCAGAAAACACATTGACATTCTGTTAGGGTGTCAGCCCCCAAGTATTTTCTGTGTTGTAACCCTAATGACCTATCAGACTTTCATCTGTATAATCCATTTAAGGCGGTTATTTCCTTTTGTGGATTTTAGCCAATCTCAGCAAGGGGGTGTGGCCTAAGGGGAGTGAGTCCTATAAAAGGCTCATCTGTGCAGAGAACACATCACTTCTCCAGAGCAGACTGACTGAAGTTGGAGCTGCCAGTTGAGTGAAGAGAATTCCTACTGACCCTGATATCGACAGAACTTACCGAGGTGTGAGCATTCATAGTAGACTCTGGTAAGTATGGAATTTAGAATGTATATGTTTTTATTTTTTTGAGTAAATATCACAAAAAATGCCTACTTTATCTTATTACAAATATTTTCGATTTACCACTGCAATTACTGGTATCTTCTCTAAGTAGAGAAGTAGATTTCTTAGTTAATTGACATGACATCAATATTTGAAATACCTGGAATTGAAGCACTTTAATAGAGTGATATTTGGTATAATACGTTATTTCATTATTTATTTTATTTTATTTTAGAAATCCTTGGGGCCCGAAACTCGAAAAGCAAACGCACAGTTCCCTGCATTCCTCGTGGGCGGTACTTCCCTTTGACCCCCCCTCCCCCACCCCCGCCCTGCGCACTGACCTGAGGCACTCCCGGGCCTCTGTCACTAAGGCCGGGAAGATGGAGGCTGCATCGGTGTCGGGGAAGATGGAGGCTGCCTCGGTGTCCGTCCCCGTCGAGTGGATAAAGAACTGGGAGAAATCAGGGAGAGGCGACCTTTTGGACTTATCTTGGCTTCTCAGCAAAAACAAGAGCCACGGCAGTTCGACTTACAGAGATTTCCAGCGAGCTCTCTATGAGTTATCACACCATGTCATTCAAGGAAATCTGAAGCCTGAACAAGCAGCTGATTTTTTAAATGACATCAGTGAATTTCGTGAGGATATGCCCTCCATTCTTGCTGATGTCTTCTGCATGTTAGATATTGAGACAACCGTTTTAGAAGAGAAGAGCAAGAGAGACTGTTTTACACAATTGGTATCAGCGTGTTTGTATTTCGTTTCAGACACGATTCTAAAGGAACGCCTAGATCCAGAAACATTGGAATCATTAGGACTTATCAAACAATCACAGCAATTCTACCAAAGATCAGTTAAAATCAAGGCAAAACTCTTTTATAAGCAGCAAAAGTTCAATTTGTTAAGAGAAGAGAATGAAGGCTATGCTAAGCTGATTGCTGAATTGGTGCAAGATTTATCGGGAAATATTACTAGTGATTTAATCTTAGAGAATATCACATCTTTAATAGGATGCTTTAATCTAGATCCCAATAGAGTTTTGGGTGTCATTTTAGAAGTGTTTGAATGCAGACCAGAATGTGATGACTTCTTTATATCTTTATTAGAATCTTGTGTGAATATGTGTGAGCCGCAAACACTTTGTCATATACTTGGGTTCCAATTCAAGTTTTACCAGGAGCCGAACAGAGACACTCCTTCGTCTTTGTACAGAGTTGCAGCAGTGCTCCTACAAGGTAATCTTATTGATTTAAATTATCTTTATGTACATCTTCTTCCGGCTGATAATTGCATTATGGATGAATATAAACGAGAAATGGTGGAAGCTAAGGAAATTCTTAGAAAACTTACGGTGGCTGTACTGTCTTCTGGGAAAGTGGATAAGCAAGAGAAGGCAAAGGAAAAGGAGGAGGAGAAAGTAGAAAAGCCCCCGGACAACCAAAAACTTGGTTTGTTAGAAGCCTTATTAAAGATTGGCGATTGGCAGCATGCACAGAACATGATGGATCTGATGCCTCCATACTATGCTGCTTCCCACAAGCTAATAGCTCTTGCTATTTGCAAGCTTATTCACATAACTATTGAGCCTCTCTACCGAAGAGTTGGCGTTCCTAAAGGTGCTAAAGGCTCACCTGTGAATGCTTTGCCAAATAAGAGAGCACCAAAACAAGCAGAGAGCTTTGAGGATTTGAGGACAGATGTCTTCAATATGTTCTGTTACCTCGGTCCCCACCTTTCTTGGGATCCCATTTTATTTGCAAAAGTGGTGCGCATAGGCAAATCCTTTATGAAGGAGTTTCAGTCTGATGGAAGGAAACAAGAAGATAAAGAGAAAATGGAAGTTATTCTTAGCTGTTTACTTGGCATTACTGACCAGGTCCTACTTCCATCTCTTTCTCTCATGGACTGCAATGCTTGTATGACTGAGGAATTATGGGGAATGTTGAAAACATTTCCATATCAGCATAGATATCGTCTGTATGGCCAGTGGAAGAATGAAACTTACAACAGTTCCCTACTTCTAGTAAAAGCTAAAGCTCAAACAATAGACAAAGCCAGAGATATCATGAACCATCTAACCAAGGAAAATGTGAAGCCTTCTGGAAGACAAATTGGGAAATTGAGCCACAGCAATCCAGCTATTTTGTTTGATTGTATCTTGGCAAAAATACAGACGTGTGATGAGCTCATGGCACCTGTAGTAGATTCACTGAAATACCTCACTCCGTTGAATTATGATGTCTTGGCCTATTGCATCATTGAGGCTTTAGCAAATCCAGAAAAGGAAAGGATGAAACAGGACGATACAAGCATTTCAAGCTGGCTTCGGCCTCTTGTTAGTTTCTGCGGTGCAGTTTTTCCTAAATATCCAATGGATCTTGCTGGTCTTCTGCAACACGTGGCTAATCAGCTCAAGGCAGGCAGAAGTATTGGCCTGCTTCTATTGGAGGAGGTGGTACACAAAATGGCAGGAATAGGAATCACCAGGGAAGAGACCATGACAACGGAGCAACTAGAGGCCATGACTGGTGGAGAGCAACTGAGAGCTGAGGGAGGTTCTTGTGGCCAGATCAGAAACACTAAAAAATCCTCCCAGAGATTAAAGGATGCCCTATTGGACTATGATCTTGCTCTTCCCCTGGTTTTGATGATAGCTCAGCAGAGGAACAGGGTGATCTTTCAGGAAGGTGGAGAGGAAGATGTGGAACTGGTGGGAAAGCTCTATGACCAGTGCCATGATACCCTGGTACAGTTTGGTGGGTTTTTAGCATTTAATCTAAGCACAGAAGAGTACACAAAGAGAGTACCTTCCATCGATGTGCTCTACAACGAATTTCATATACCCCAGGATGCAGCATTTTTCTTGTCCAGGCCAATGTATGCACGCCATATCTCATCCAAATATGATGAACTTACAGAATCGGACAAGGAAAGTAAACAGCAACATAAAGTCCACAAGTACATAGCATCATGTGAAATGGTGATGGCGCCTGTCCGTGAAGCAGTAGTCTCATGGCACATTTCTGAAGTCTGGGATGACATCAGCCCTCGGTTCTATGCCACATTCTGGTCGTTGACCATGTATGACCTTGCAGTTCCACACACCAGCTATGAACGGGAAATCAGTAAACTTAAAGTCCAGATGAAAGCAGTTGATGACAATCAAGAAATGCCTCCAAAGAAAAAGAAAAAAGAAAAGGAGCGCTGTAGTGCTCTTCGGGACAAGCTTCTTGAAGAAGAAAAGAAACAGACGGAACATGTACAGCGAGTTCTACAGAGACTGAAACTGGAAAAGGACAACTGGCTTTTAGCCAAATCTAGACCAAAGGAGACCATCACAAAATTTTTACAGCTGTGTATATTTCCTCGATGTATTTTTTCAGCAATCGATGCTGTTTACTGTGCTCGTTTTGTTGAACTGGTACATCAACAGAAAACTCCAAATTTTTCCACACTTCTTTGCTATGATCGAGTTTTCTCTGACATAGTTTTCACAGTGGCAAGCTGTACTGAAAATGAAGCACGTCGATATGGGAGGTTTCTTTGCTGTATGTTAGAGACTGTGACTAGGTGGCACAGTGATAGAGCCACATATGAAAAGGAATGTGGAAACCACCCAGGATTCCTTACTATACTGCGGGCAACTGGATGTGATGGTGGAAGTCAAGCTGATCAACTAGACTATGAAACTTTCCGACATGTGGTACATAAATGGCACTACAAACTAACCAAGGCATCGGTGCATTGCCTTGAAACGGGTGAATATATTCACATGAGGAATATCTTGATTGTGCTAACAAAAATACTTCCTTGCTACCCAAAAGTTTTAAATCTGGGTCAGGCTTTGGAAAAAAGAGTGCATAAAGTCTGCCAAGAAGAAAAAGGGAAAAGGCGTCGTCTACATGCATTAGCTACCGGCTACTCTGGGCAGTTGAAATGTAGGAAGTCATACATGATACCTGAAAATGAGGTTCATCGCACGGAGCCCACTCCGAAGAACACAGTTGCCAGTGTACACAATGGGCCCGTTGGCAGGTCTTCATCTTCCATAGGAAGTGCATCTAAATCTCATGAAAGCAGTGCTGAGGAGAACGATAAATCAGTGGAGAGATCTGAGGGTGGTGTGAAAGCTGTCCACAAAGCTTCTAGTGCCACACTCAAAGGCAATTCAAGCAATGGCAATAGTGGCTTTAATAGCAGCAACATCATTAAAGAAAATGACAAAGAGAAAGGGAAGGAAAAGGAGAAAAGAGAAAAGACTCTAGAGGCCAGGGTACTTGGTAAAGATGGTAAAGAAAAACCAAAGGAAGAACGGCCAGAGAAAGATGAAAGAGCAAGAGAGACAAAGGAAAGAACACCTAAGACCAACAAAGAGAAAGAAAAGGCTAGAGGTGAGAAATTCAAGACCACTGTCCCCAACATAGAATCAAAATTGACTCGAGAAAAGGAAAGAGAGAAGGAGGCATTCAGAGAAAGAGATAGAGCAAAGGAAATAAAATCAAAAGAAAAGGTTAAAGGAGGAGAAAAAAGACCAGTTTCTGGGCCCTTGAAGTCACCTGTTCCCCGATCAGATATGACTGAGCCTGAAAGGGGACAAAAACGCCAGCATAAAATTGATAGACACCCTTCTCCATCACATACCTCAACAAGAAAGGACAGTCTCATCGCACCCAAGGAGTCTTCAGCAACGCTGTACCTTATTCATACCCCTTCACCACTAATCAAGAGCAAGGAGAGAGAAACAGACAAGAAAGAATTGGGCAAGTCAAGGGAACGATCCAGAGAAAGAGAGAAAAAAGATGAAAAGGGCAGAAAAGGTCGGAAACGGCATCACTCAAACAACGACCGGGAAGTGCTACCGGACCTAAGGAAGAGGCGAAGGAAAGAAGAACACGGAACGATGGTGGTTTAAAAACACAAAAGTGAAAATCCATGCGATTCTCCTTATCCAAATGAGAAAAACAAGGGGGACAAAAAAATAAAAATAAAAATAAAATATAAGTCACAATCTTCAGGCAATGAAAAAGGCAGCGATTCATTTAAATCTGAAAAGATGAATAAAATCTCCTCCAGTGGCAAAAAGGGTATATACAGACCCCTAAGTTGAAGGTCTCCTGGAGGAGGATGCCAATGCTCCCTGCATCACTCTCAGAACGCTATCTCCCATAATTCAGAGCTTCTGGTGTTGTCCATTTCAGGGGAATCTGCTTTAAGTCAAAAGATGACGACAACCCCCCATCCCCTAAACAAGTCATTCCAAAATCACTAGTTGTCAGGATATTCTTTTCACCGCCAGTCAGTTCCTTGCAGCACGCTTCCTGTGTATACAATTTTCATTTGAAATTCGACACCCAGAAGCAGCATCTGATGAAAATTTCATCCCTTTTTTCTCAGAAAAGAGAGGAAACCGCCTCTGGGGACTAGTTCCTTAATGACGTAAATAGACTGCGTTTATGTGCAAACTCCTATACCTTTGACAATATTGGGATGACTGATTGTATTACGTGAGGATTTTGGCTTCTTGTAAAAAATTTAACTCTAGTTCCTGCCAGGAGCCGATCCACCTTTGCTGCTTGATGCAGTCACTGCAGGGAAGAAACATCTGCACAGCTTATGTTTCAAGGGACCTGGCGTATATGACAGATGTTTGCTCCCCCTCTTAAGTGCCCTGTGTTTTAACCAGGACCACCTCCCCTAGAAAGGTTGTTTCCCCAGGTTAGGGGTTAACAGGACTAAGGAAGAGAATAAATCAGTAAATCCCTCTAGTGTTACAGGGGGACATACCATGTACTACGTATGAAGAACTTGGACTAAGACTGTTGGCAATAAATGTGGGACTTGTGGGCAATAAATGTGGGCAATAAATGTGGCCCACATCCCCAGGGGTCTGCACCAAAGCCTATACCCCTGGTGACCCACTGACACAGGGAAGTCCCAGGGAAAGCAAGCAGCGAGGCTGGGAGGACATAACCTTGACTGGGTAGGATGAACTCCTTTAGTCACTTCATTGTAACTTATCAGTAGAGCAGTAGAATAGTGACCTTGGAATAGCCCTTATAATGGAACACAAGAGATTAACCTAGACAAGATCAAAATCCACAGAACTAGATAGAGACAGGATTATGGACATGAAACTAGGAACTGCAGAAGGTTTCCTGAAACATACCATGACGTAATTATAGAGGCATGCTTATGGGATCAAATAGGATAAATATAGATGTAATAAAACGATAAAAAGAGAACCCAACCATGCTGATCAACTGAACCCTGCCTCAGTGTCATTCATTCTTCGTCGACTCCGTCCACACCTATGGGAACCCCTGGACGTGCTGGGGCTGGACCCCAGCAACTGTGCTGGGGGAGGAAATGAAACATGAGAAACTTACTGAATGTGTTGGGGGGAGGGACTGTGGCCTGGAAAAAGTTACCGATTGTGTCAAGGGCAGGGACCATGGGAGAGAAAAATTGCTAATTATCTCGCTAGAAAAGCAATGTGTTATGATTGAACCCAGCCAGGTATGACCCTGCTCGTAAATTTTATGTAAACTTTTTACCCTGACAGTGCCAGGAACGGCTAATGAACCGCTTTGTAGTTGGTTTTTTCTTTTTTTTCTAACACTGTGTAGTTGGCAATAAAAGATCTTGCTGCACACTTGGTCGGGGCCACATGTTCCGAATCTCCCAGAGGGGGAGATAGGTGCTGTGGTCAGCTGGCCAGCTTAATAAAAGGCTTTTAAATTTAAATTCTGAGTCGGTGGTCTATCTCGTTGAGCCAACCCATAACATTTGGAGGCCCGCAGCGAGATACCCGGCAGGGAGGAGAGGGACCCCTTATTTAGGACTGGAGGCTCTCCCCCGGCAGGGAGGAAAGGGACCCCCTATTTAAGGCAGGAGGCTCTCCCCTGGCAGGGGTGAGAGGGACCCCTTGTTTAGGGCAGGAGGCTCTCCCCCGGCAGGGAGGAGAGGGACCCCCTATTCAAGGCAGGAGGCTCTCCCCCACTTGTCGCTGGGCACTCAGCGAGATACCCCACACCTGTGGAGAACGACTACCAAGGAGGCCTCCAGTCCACCCAAAAACTTTCAATTCAGAAACCGAGCCACCTGGACTCTTGAGAGAGGTAAGGACCGGTCGTTAAACAGGAATTGGGACGTCCCACGGAAGGACCTATATGGAGGGCTGGATGCAGCGGTACTCCTGGTCCTGACCTGCGGCCACGACGGTGGCCGGGGTCCCTGGTTCGTGCGGCTGTAGGCTGCACTGGGTTTGTCTGTCTGGTATTTGTTTGTCTTGGTATTTGTTGTCAAAAAGTTGTCTGCTTCTGTGTGCACCCTGCTGCAATGCTTTTTGAAAAATTTTCAGGACTTCAAGGAGCGAGCTGCAGGTTCCGGGCAACCTTAGGTTGCATTTGGCTTGTTTGTTTTGTCTTTGTTCTTTGTTGTCTTTGTCTTTGTCAAATGGGATAGGGTCAGTCATCTTCGTCGACCCTCTATCAGTCAGGCCCACTCCGGGTGAGTGGAAGGGGAGCTTGATCACCTCCTGGGAAGCTATAGAGCTCCCTCAGGAATTGGGAAATTGTTAGGAATTGGATGGATTGCTTAAATTCTGAGTAAACATTTGGTAGAAGTCAAAAACTTGGACTGTCTGATGTATAAATGTAAATGTAAAAGTCTATGTAAAGCGAAAGCTACTTTGTGCTATCTGGCTGTACACATGAAGAAAAACCCTGCTTTAAGGGGAAGACAGTAGAGAACTTTTAATTGCTTTTGCTCTGATGTATAATTTTGCTATGTTAGATTAAAATTTTAAAAATCTAGGGTTAATTTAAAGATATAAGGTTGCAACCCAAAGAAGTTTAACAAAGGCTGGCTAAATTCCAAGATTGCTTAGTTCTGAAATTGCTTATAAAAAAGCAAGAAAGAAGTCTTTTCAAGTTAACTATTTGCTTAGCAAATTAACAAAGTAGTAAATTTCAAAGAACTTGTTATTTATGGTTTTCTTATCTCTTTAGTGGACACCAAGGGCTTACAGCTCTGCAGGGCTGAAAGATTTACTGCCTGTGACTGTGTTTTGTTTAACTTGCTGTTTTCAATTATTTATTAGGATCCTCATAAAGGACATGCTTTCTCTTCCTCCCTCATCCTGATTAATCATTAAAAGATTAAGGTTTCTAAAAATAAAGATTTCTGTCTATCAGTTGCTCTTACCTAGATTGTAAATTTACTATATTAAACTACAGTTCTGAGGTAGATTTAAAGGTTATAATGTTAATGCTTTTGATTTACAGCGATTCTGTGAACTGGAGTGGCCCACTTTCCAGGAGGGGTGGCCGGATGCAGGGTCTTTTGATCTGACCACTGCCTACTGGGTCCATTATGTCATATACGGCCGCCCAGGGCATCCTGATCAAATTCCTTATATTCAGGTTGGGGTTAAACCCCGGTGGATGAGGGCTTGCCTCCCGAGGGGAAAATTGGGACAGAGACAGACAATTCTTTTGGCCGGGCCCCAGAAGGGAAAGGCTCCCCCGGTCCTTCAGGGAGAGCAGGAAGAGCCCATTAGCCGGCCGCCCTCCATGGTCCCTAGGCGCCGGATCTGGGTGAGCCCCGGCCTCAAGCCCAGGCCACGCCACCAGCTCTTGACCTGGAGCCCCTACCTCCTCCGATGCCAATTGTTTTCCCTCTGCACCCACCGACGGGAGGGGCTTTGTCGTCCTTCAAACCCACCCTTCAGTCCATCCCATACTAGGTGGGGACAGCATATAGAGGGAGAGAGGGGGGGGGGGGGAAGAACCTGCAGGACCCTGCGACATCCACCAGTCCTGCAGTTCCTATGTTGCCACTATGGCAGGAAGGCCCTCTAGATCTGGGGCTAGACAGGCAGCCCTCTGGGGATGCAAGGCAGATCGAGGCGCTATTCCCCAGCTCCAGACCAGATTGGGGAGTGAATGAACAAAGAAGGGGGGCTGGATGCCTGAGCTGCCTGCAGTGGCCCTAAAAAAAAAAAAAAAAAAAGGAGCAGCAGCAGCAGCAAGAACATGGGACTGAGGAAAGCCAGGGCCATGGCTGGCAGAGTTCTGCCCAGCCCAGCGTTGGGGAGTCCAGGGCTGCAGCTTCGGAGGAGCAGCCTGTTCCGTTTCTTCTGGCTGTGGATGTGGGCTCGAGAGACCAGAATTACCCCCGAACCTGCAGGATGTGTTTCTATAGCGTAGAAACCATTACTGTTAACTTACCTACCTTTGTCTTCGCCAGGCGCCGCCCTGGAGTCTTCATCCTGTTCGATGAGAACCACTTCGGGTTCCTCTGGCTGTCGGCAAAATACTTCATCCTGTTCGGCAGAGTCCAGAACACCTTCCAGAATGTGGAGGCACCATCCCTGCAGGCCTTCCTGGAGATGCTCTGGAACATTCAGTCCGGACCCTCTGGGAGGAGCAGCTTGCATGCACTTTGAAGATTTGACCTTCTGACCTGGTTATATATTTTTAAAAAAACCTCTCCTTTTAAAATTAAGAAAAAAAAACCTCCTTAGAAATGACATTGATACAGCCTTTCAATACGTAGACGCTTAGGCAAGCCCATGTGGCCCGGCCCGGACTTGGTCTCTAGGCGGGGCCTGACCATG